GTTTATTCTTAGTGATGGCAAAAACATATCTGGTTACCACAGATGCAGGACATTTCTCAGGCAGACACGGCAAGAGTAGTGAAAATGTCCGTTTATTCATTTACAAACTTAGTAACATAAAATAAAATTGAAATCTGACTTGATAGAAATACAGTGCACAACGTTAATACCACATTCGCAGAGGGCAGAAATGCTCTGTCACCCTCTGTGCCTGTCATCACCAGGGCTCGTGAGAAACATCCCATTTACTAAAGTGCCTTGCACGTCTTCAGGACCACATGCTGATGCTACACGTGGGATAGAAAAGGGCTGAGTTGAACTGCACGTTTACAAATGCAAAGAACGAGTTGTAGCCTTTATAGTAATTACAATGGCATTTTCTTACATCCCAAGAGTTGACCAGAGAGTAAAGTGTTAGCTGTGCTGCTGGAAGACCCTTCACTGAAACGAGCTGCAGAAGCCTTCGACCCTACACCCATCTGTTGAAGGTACTTTTTTTCGTCTCCACCCACCATGTGACATTCTGGAGTGTAAGGCACTAGAACCTGGCTTGGAGGAAAGAGGTGCCCCAAGCTCCAGTTCTTGGTGTGCAAAGGAAATCCTGGCATAGATCCATAGAAACCTCTCCACTTCTTACAATTTCTGTCCTTGAGAGACAGAAAAATGAGAAGGCAGAAAGTCTGCAAAGGATGAAAATAGGTGTATCTAAATATCATGAGAAAAATGGCCCATGAAGAAACGTGTAATTCCCCAAGGGTTCTGCTCAGAGAAGTCACGAATCATACACAAGGAACAACTCTGGTGTTTAATGGATAAAAGAGAAGGCCAAGACGTACAAAAATACTCAGTCCTCTTGAAAAATAGTGTATTTGTCATGGTAAAGGGACTGCATACGCCAGCCCCGTGCTGACAGTGAAGGAGCCTTACAACTAACGGAGCACCTGAAAGTGGAGGGCGGTGGGTGTGGGGAGCGGCTCTGACACGTGGCTCCCTAGCTCCCTCATGACTCACTGCAGGACATGGCTACTGCCTATTATTTCATCTGCTGTCTCTTCCACTCAACTGTGCTGCTCCTGAGTCCATTTGCCTGATGAAAATTCCTTACTCATGAGAAACTTTACCTCCTGCTGCTTGTATCAAAGTTTGTGAGGGATGGGGGGAGTGTGTGTGTACAGAAAGAAAATGAACACAGTAGGTTATACTTCAGGATTGAGCACTGTTGACCAAATCTCTATCTTAGATACTAAAGATACTTAGATCCTTGCTGCCTACACTGGCCAAGAGGCAGCAAAGATATAAAAAGGAACTTGTGGGGCTTCCCTGGTGGCGCAGTGGTTGAGAGTCCGCCTGCCGATGCAGGGAACACGGG